CGTTTTACTAGTCCGCGCTTTACTAGTTTACGTTTTACTAGTCTAGTCCAGTCCAGGAATACCATATGCCCACGACAACGCACCAATTCCGTTCCGCTTCGCATACTTCTGTCACGCACTCTCCGTGGATAAATATCCGTGAAATTCGCTCGCACTGAAATAACAGTTTGGCGTGTTGGATAATAAATAACTTATTAGTCGTTTTGTTGTGAAGTATCGCTGAGTACTTTTACTCGTTTGACTCGCCCTACGGGCTCGTCAAAATACGGCACAACTCGTAAAAATACTCAGCGATACTACACAACAAAACGTCTAATAAAATATATTTACTCGATTATATTAGCTGGGCCTGAGGAAAATAATTGTCTTGGTAACCAGACCAAGCAACAGCTGTGTAGCTCACCAATGCGAGAGACTTTTCGTTCCCAGATCTCTTCAGTTCTGATTGGCTGCGGTTTCTTGCGAAAATAACTGCGCGTTGAATGAAAAGACTTATGCGCAGAACGCCATCTTGCTTTGCGAAAGGAAAGAAGATCGGTGTATGAATTTATTCGCGTCTGGGTCCTTGTTTCCTGGCTCAAGTTCAACTGTATTTCGGATTTTTTATTCAAAATAGGAGTGAACTGTCTAACGGCACAAAGGTGAGTGTTTTTCTGTTTCAATTATAACCTTAAACCTACTACATCATCATTTGATGACAGTGGTTGCTGTCGCCCCACATGATTAATCGGTACCTCGATTTATTTGGATGATTTCGCGTGTTTTACTTATTTAGATCGTTTATCTTGGAGTGCAGGAACTCTCCTGCAAGCGTCAAAAGGGGATTTACCTATGTATAAAAGCACTTTGAGTTAACCGCGGGTGAAAAATTAGCTTGGTTCGCTGTAACTGGTAGAAAATGCCGTCCACTGTAAATAATTTCAACATCAGAGACGTCTGGAAAAACAACATGGAAGAAGAGTTTGCCAAAATAAGAGATATTGTAGAAAACTATCCTTATGTAGCAATGGTAAGTGTGGATTATTTCGTTTTGCCTCGTCTTGGAGTAAACTGTTTGAAAAATGAATAATTTTCATAGTGAACATCAACAAATGGTACAAAGACCTTTGAGTAAAGTATTGGTGTACAGAAGACATGATTAGATGTGTTTGAAAACAAGACCACAGTCATTGTTTTTATTTGAAAGGAATCTCTAGTAGCTATTATTATTAATTTCTTATGTTTTATGTCTTATTATGGGTTCTTTCTCTTCTAATGTAAATCCTAGCTATTTGTGAATGTATGTGTATACCTATTTCTATCTATTTATTTACCTGATTTTAATATTGATGTATTTTGGTAAATTTTATTGTAAGTTATGCAATCTGCTCCGATTAGCGTTGCTACATGCGGGTTGTATAAATTTATAAATCTGTTAAATTTGTTTTGTTGTTATAATAAATGTGTAAATGTATTGTGTGTGTGTATGTGAATCCTCTACTGTGGGGACTTTGTTTAGACTAAGTTACAAAGACCTTTGAGGTAAGCATTGATGAACAGAAAGTCATAATTAGATATGTTTGGCACCTTTAACCCTAGCATTAGTAATAATATTCTCTATGCTGTTCTCTTTACATTCCTATGATACTGACAAAGAGAATCTATTTGAAAATCAGGAGATTCCTAAATTGGTGTTCGTTTCCGTTTTTCTCATGACCTGTACATTTGATTCAAGGGTGACAATGTTATGAGAAATTATAAGACAATCAATCCCTAGGGCTTAAGAAGTCTTGACTAAAAGGGGAAAGCTTGCATTGTTAATAAAATGTTTTTATCTTAACCATACAAAGCCAAATTAACCAGACAAACATATATGATTATTCTATTGCCTTAATTTTTTTTTTTTTTTAATGGTAGGACACAGAATTTCCAGGTGTTGTGGCAAGACCCATTGGAGAGTTTCGCAGCACGTCAGAGTATCAATATCAACTTTTGAGGTGTAATGTCGACCTTTTGAAAATCATACAGCTTGGCTTATCTTTTTATAACGAGAAAGGACAACAGGCACCTGTTGGAGCTACTCGCCAGTTTAACTTCAAGTTTAACCTGACGTAAGTTACTTTCTTCACAACTGTGTTATAAATCATGGATGCAAAGTTTTTTGCAAGCTTGAATATATCTTAGGTGAGGTCTGCCTATCTCTACCCAAGAGAAGAAATGGGTCTTGAAAAGTAACACAGAAACTGAGGTAGTTACCTTAGGTGTTTGAGTAGGAGAAATATTTGGCATCTAATTAGCACATAGGCTATTTTTAATCATTATTCTTGTTTCAAAGTTTAAAGAGCTTGTTTTTACAACAGATGATGATTCAGATATGTATACCTCTTTGACATGTGAAAATATGATAAAAAAGTTTTGTGGCTGTCAGAAACCTATCATAATGGACAACTGGCACAAAATTTTACAAATGAACAACTTAGACCGTATTTATTTAATTTATTTATTTTACAATTATTTACTGCAGTGAGGACATGTATGCTCAGGACTCAATAGATTTACTCAACCGAGCAGGTATCCAGTTTAAAAGGCATGAAGAGGAAGGAATTGAAGTGAATGACTTTGCAGAGCTTCTGATAACATCAGGTCTCATACTGACTGAAGATGTCAAATGGCTCTCATTTCACAGGTAAAGAATTTTAAAGAAATTTTTGTGAGAAAGAATTTTAAAGAAATTTTTGTTCAGTGTTGTGTACTTTTCTCATATTTACAAGGTTTTTTATGAAATGATGTTTTCAAAACTCATTATTTGTATCACTGAATTGAATCTTCCATTGAGTAAGATTTTGAGCTTTACCTTACATAAAAATTTCCATGTCTCATCTTGATTTTCTGGCTAAATTTTGCTTGTCAGTGGTTATGATTTTGCATACCTTTTGAAAGTGGTGACAGCACAGAATTTGCCGAGTGAAGAATCAGAATTCTTTGAACTACTGAAGATCTACTTTCCAAACATTTATGATGTTAAATACTTAATGAAGAGTTGCAAGAGTCTCAAGGGTGGCTTGCAGGAAGTGGCTGAATTATTAGAGGTATACCTATATAAATTATAATTAATTATTTTATCATAGCTCATTCAAGTTGTAGCTATTATGATAATCTCTTTAACCCTTTACACCCACTCTCCACTGTGTTCCGTACACATTTTCTAAGGTGCTGACAAGGAGAATTTGTTTGTTTAGTTGGTGATCATTTCCTTTATTCATGTGGAGGCATGGTGGCCTCATGGTTGGTGCACTTGACTCCAGATCGAGTGGTCCGGGTTTGAGCCCTGGCCAGGGACATTGTGTTGTGTTCTGAGGCAAGGCACTTTACTCTCACAGTGCTTCTCTCCACTCAGGTGTATTAAATGGGTACTGGCAAATTTAATGCTGGGGGGTAACCCTGCAATGGACCAGCATCCCATCCAGGGGGGGTAGAAATACTCCTGGTCACTTCATGCTACAGAAACCGGAGTTAAGCGCCGGCCTGATGAACCCAAGTAGGCTTTACCTTTTTACTTTTTATTTCCTTTATTCTCGTGACCATAATATTTGATTCAAGGGTGATATTTTAAGGAGAAATTAGATGCTAATCACTCTTAGTGGTCGAAGGGTTTAATGAGCTTTCCTGGGAGCTTATATTTTACCAACCATGTCTTGAGTGATGGGAAAGGGAAGTGAAACAGAGAGGGGGTTGTCTAATACTTGATCAGAGCCAATTTAAAAATTTTTAAGGGCATAATTATAAAAAGGCAGAGAACATTGTGGATAGATATTGATCATCTTGTTATGAGTAAGAGACAATGGAAAAAAATCTGAGTTCCTCTGAAGAATTCAAACCTAAACTTCTATAATGTAACACTCTATCAGAGAACAATATGCAAAGGTTTCTGGGTTAAAGGGTATTAAAGCGCAGAATACTTAGGGTTGGGGTTTGATTTTCAGCAAAAGGATACATCTCAGGAATAATAGGACAGTAAAATGCCCGTGCTTCATTTCTTTTAGCTTGAAAGAGTGGGACCCCAGCACCAAGCAGGTAGTGACAGCCTCTTAACAGGAAATGCATTTTTTAGAATGAGAGAGGTATGTCATGATTTTTATAGTTACAACAAAGAGGAAAACTAGGTGCTAGCTGAAATAAATGCTAAAATATCTTGAGACTTAATTCATCTAGGAGGTGCTCCTTGTTTTACACCATATGCACTGTTTAACATGGGCTTATTTTTAAAATTTTGCACTCAAATCAAGTGGCCCATCTAGTTTTAGCTTATCCCTGTCTCTCTTCTCCCCCCCGCCCCCACCATCCCCCTCCCCTAGGCTTTCCTTGTGACTTGGCTTTTACCATTCTATACTCCTGGGTCCTGGTTGGAAAGAGACAATGCGAGAATAAAGTGTCTATGTCATATTGTCTTGGCAAACAAAGAGTCCAGCCTGTTAACCATGAACCCTTTCACTCCCAAGATCTCATTCATAATTCTCCTTACTGTCTGCTTTACAATTCTTATGATGTTAGTTTGGAGAATTTGGTATTGGATCAACCAATAATCTCATTGATATACCGGTATCTCTTTATTCACATTGCTTGTCTGCTTGATATTGTATTGATATGGTAAGGAGAAATTCTGTCTTAGTCACTCATGGGAGTGAAAAGGGTAAGCCAATATGCATCTCCACCATGTGAGAATTTATAACAATATAAATGGAGAATTAAGTGCAGGAGGCTGTAAGAAGTCACTTAAATCTTCAGTTACCCTCTCTCTGGGTTTGTCCCACTGAGGACAGTATCTGATCAGAACTAATAAAGAATTTGATTGAAGCCTTTTGAAATTTTACTCTGCAATTTGTATTCTACAGATGTTTTTTGAGGATAATATAGATGATGCAAAGTACTGTGGACACCTTTATGGGCTGGGTACATCATATGTGAATGGAGGACAAGCATACAGTGGGCCGACTTCCAACAATAATTCCAATTCATCCTGATGCTAGCTACTGAAGGCTGCCTCGTGCAGCTCTAAATCCAACAGGTTGTAAATCTACATTTTAACCAGGCACCCCAATGTCCTTTTCCTTTGGGGAATCTTAATGAGATTTTTAACTGTTCTTGAGTTGCTTTGCCAGCATTCCTTTTCCTTTTCATTAGTGGAAGATTTTTTAAGGTGACCAGTTTAGCAAGGACAAAAACTGCACAGTTTTGTCAAACAGCCTCTATGAACCAGCAAGCAGATAAGTGCATTTAGTTGGAACTCCCTAATACTAATAGTTACCCCATATTTCAAAGTTTGAGAAGTATGAAGTCTAAAGCCCAAGAAACAGGTTTGTTTTAAACTTGCTTCTTTTGCTTCTGTGTTAATTTATTTACTCTACAAAAATAGCAACACTGAATTCAGTTTATCACAAGTTGAACTATTAAGATTTTTTTGGGCAGTTTTTAATACAAAGACACTTAAAAGATATTTAGTATTTTTATTTTTAGATTTTCATGTAGAATAATTGGACAGGAATATGGATAGTGGCAAGTAAAGTTATGCAGGAGGACTAATTAAGATCTTTTTTAAAGTTTTTTAGATCTGATGTGATCATTGTAAAAGACACATGTAGATATATATTGCTCTGTATACATGCGCAAGTGCACTTTCGTTTTAAGATTGAACTGATTAGGTTAGTTTCTCCACAGTCTTTCCTCTTTTTGTGTTAATGACTCTTTCTATTTACAATTGATAGGCAAGCATAATGCAAGTTACTGTATATGGAAATGAAACAATTTCAAATCATTTTACAGTGAATGCAGGATTTGGTTTTTCACAAAAATGCAGTGGTTATCGTGCATTGTGAAGGAATATCATCTAAAGAAAAAAAAGGAAGCAATTTGTTTTCAGTCTTGATGAGTCTACCTCCTTTCATCTTTATGGAAAAAAAGCAACATGGTAAGAAAACAAAATAGTAACATGGCAGGACCCTTGCAAAAATCAAGCAAGTCCCAGTCTTTACCAAGTGGGAGTGCTTGTTTGAAATCTTATTTCTTAACACTAGTGTAAGAGGTTTGTTCATTGCTAAAGCGTGCACTTATAGATATATATCAAGTCTTGTATGTAGTAGTATAGGAGATTTTGCAACTAAAGAAAATTGTTATTAAAGTTAAACGTTATGCCAATGATACAAGGAAATCCTGGTTCTGTTTAGTTATCTTGATTATTAAGGTGGCTGAACACAGTTTTTTCGTGTGCTTTTGCTGATGCAATTCAGTGCACGCACAAGGATTGCAAAAAGCAAACATGCCGTCAATAGATCAGTTTTATTTACTCAACACGTATCTGCACTATCTGTGCTATTTTTCTCTATAGTTGGCACAGTGTATTGAGGGCTTTAATCTTTTATTACAACGACATGTTAGAAAAGTTAACGGTGCAAAGAACCCAGCAATTCTCAGCTTTTTTGCTGCTACCGAGAGAACCCAGTTAAATGCAGCGCATGCATGGTAAGTCAGAAAATTGCAATTGAATGGAAAATTGCTTTCTTGGAAATATGCCTATTTCTTGAGAACTCATGAGAATTTCATGAAATTTGGCATGAAAATACTTTAGGACATAAGTAACTGGAGTATTGAAAACAATTGATTTTTAACAAAGGAAATTCTAGATAATCAAGTGAACCTTCAACAAGGGATAATTAAAGATCTCTCTGTTAATTTGTTAACTTGTATTGTTACAAGCTCGTTCCATGCAAATTATAAAGAAAAACTAATGACTAGATTTTCTACAAATGAACAAAACCGATTTTAAATGCCTGTTTTTATTTATTCATGTCGCCATGACAATGGCACATACGTCAGCTTTACTATAAAAAAAACAAAGTTTGCATTAACTTGCTTGCTGCCAGTTTTGGCAACTGAGAGATCAAGGGTTTTAGAGAAAATGGTGAAAGAAACACAGATATCAAAAACTGTGTTCAGCCACCTGAAGTCAATAAAGATTATTGTATCACTTTAAAGTAGATGTCCACTCCAAATACTCTTTTTACACATACCATCCACAATCATCACATTCCTGAAGATTATGTGGGCAAGATAATTGCTATGGGCCAAACTCATTTTAGAGGTCTCTGGCTTAGTGGTAGACCAGTGGAACCCATGGCTTAAATTCAGCCCAACACCACTCTGATTGTTCTGGAATCTGGAAGCATTCAATCCCATGTACTTGGGATAGAATTCAAGACAACATTTTACATGAAACCTTATTTCAAACAGCATTCAATAGTGACAGGAGGGAAAGTTTTTCTTAGCACTAAAATAAAAGTTTCAAGCTCTGGATGAGGTTTTCACTTTACAAATGGAAAAAAATTAATAAAGAAAATGAGAAAATCAAGTTGGAAAGTAGGTGAAAAGGGTATGGCACTCTGGCTGCTTATACCATTCCGTCACCGCTAGGTAAATTTAGATCGTAACGAATGTCCACCTTATGGTTATTACGTTCAATTGGTAATTTCAGTGACATGAACACCACAACCATAATGAAAGTCAAGCTATAAATAAATGGGTCTTGTTCTTGGAGATTGTATCTTCACTACTACCATTACTCTCTCAGAACGTCATTTTATAAATCTTTATTTACCAGCACTTACTCTTGATTCTCAAACTATACACTGTCAACTGGCAAGACTCTACAGCAAAGAAACATGGTAATGTAAGCTTCTACTTGAAAAAAGCAACATTTTACAAGTTACTGGTAAAAACATAAATACAAACTCAAAGCAGTCTCTTTCCAGGTGTTTTCATGACAAATTTAACTCTTAAATTCATGACTAACATTGATCTCTCTTTCTGGTACTAAATTAATGAACTATATTAAGCTTACTCTTTTCAAGCTTATTCTTACACTCCTAACATTTTAAATACGTGTAAAAATGTATATCACATGAAGAAATACTATTAACTGTTGACTAGAGGGGTTTAGTGTTGGATGACAGTTTTGAGATGACCCAGCCTTGTTAGACACGTTGTATCAATGCTCTCACTAATTAATAAGAAATGTCTAAAGAAACATGTTCCTTTTTGTTTTCAGTATGGGACCTAGCCTAGGTTGTCAGACTGAACATTTATGCATTTTCATTTAACAAGCATTCTGCATACTACTAGGATTGCTGATGACTCCCAAGGGTGAACAGAAAGAGCTAATTAGTATAAGTTCCATTTTTACAGTAGAACCCCACCAACTCACACTCTTACGGAAAGAAAACTTGATTGGAATAAAGATGGTGGGCCCAGATGGCTTAAAGTAAATGACTAAAAAGATGGAGTCAAGAGAAATCAGATATTGTTTAAGTTAACTAAGTTCGAGTTTGCAGGGTTCTACTGTATCACCAAGTTATTTTTTTGCTTCTCTTATTAGTTCAATTGCTTAGACATGGTCTGATTAATTTCATTTAATTTAGCTGTAAGAATTATGCTTTGGAAGACAAATAAGTATGCTCTGTTTCCTTGGCTGCCCTCACTATCTACAAAATAGATTCAGAAATGTGCATGACTTTAGTCAGGGTGTGCAGCCAAGACCTTTGAATAAATAACAAATATTTCAGAAAAGTGAACAGAAAAATGTTTTCAGTCTTGTTGTTTCCAACTTCTAGACTGATAACAAATCCACGAATACTTTGAATTTGGAAATTCCTTAAGATCTTTAACCAATCGAGGTGGACTAGCATCTAATTTTACCTTTCAATATCATCCACGAATCGAACATTAAAGTCACAAGAATAAAGGAACTGAATAGAGAAAAGTATGTAGGATATGCATGCTGATGCTTCAAGGGTTTAATTGAGCCTTAAACTCTCAGATGTGATTAACATGTAATTTTCCCCTATAATATCCATACATCATCCAGGAAACAGGTAATCTACTCATTAGGTAGAAGTAGCTATCTTGATCCAACACCAGTTTCTCGACTAAGGAAAAGTATCGTAGCCCCAGAGGAGAATTAACAAGCAGATATTGGAAGTTTTAGAGTTAAGAATCCCCTATGGAAACAAATTTCATCCCACTTGCGCATGTTCATCCTTGAGGACCCACTGTCAGGGCAAGTGGCAACTGTGCATCAGGGTTGTCAAATTTTTTTGATCAACCAGACTGGAAAACAAAGGTGACACTAGGGGTCATCAATGCCATGCTTCCAGGCTACAAATGTACTCACAAGCATTCAGAAAAGCAGGCACATTATTCAGAGTAGCAGGTGAAATGTGCTGGTTGCAGGTTTATTTTGACAACCCCAGTGAATAAATCATACTCATACTACATTTCCTCCACTAACTGTCCTAGCACTTATTTAAAAATTGAGCTAAAAATATGGCAATTACTCAAGGTGGGAGGGAGGGGGGCTTATTGGGTAATTACAGTACTAGGACAAAAATTAAAAGAACAAATAACACACATAAAGGAACTCTGTAAGGACATAGAGGTAGAAATAGTGGGAGTGAGATCAACAGAAAGAAACTATTATCCTACCCTGATTCAGCTGTTTTTGAAGCTTAAAAAATTGTCAATCAAGTGGCAATAACAACAGGACTTCTTTGTTTGGCATTTTGGCCTTACTAGTTAGGAGTCGGTGCTTATTTTAAGGAGGGCACTTATTAGAGCATGGGTGCTTATTCTAGGAAATACAGTATATCTAAAAACCTATTCATGCTACAGTTTGATTAGAGTCAGAACATAGGATTTGCTGTAGTTCAACACACTCCTCGTTATTATTACTCTGCAACTGCTGTCTCTGCTAAGGGAGAATCCCAAAATCTTCACAAGTCTTTTGTACTCTTTTTCTTCTCATGCCCAATCTGACCACTATCCATTTAAGGTAGTCTCATTCTAGTCTCTTTTTGCAGAAGACACAAAAACTGAAGTCCATGAGATGGATTGTATTGCGGTGCTTTTGGCATAAAATTCTTTTCCTTCCCACAAATGACTTCCCACATCCCCTGCACTGGATGGTCTCGGGAGATCGGTTACAGTTACAGGAAAGCTCCTAAAAAGAAAGAAAATCAAGTTCAATATTTCCACACTCCATCATTGTAAAACAGAAAGCAAAAACAAATCAGAAAGAAAGACAAGACAACTGATGAGGTCACCATACACAAACCTAGTTACAGTCCAACCTCGATTATCCGGACTCGTTGGGACCTCAGTGAATGGTCCGGATAATCGAGAGTCCAGATAATTGAAAATATGAATATTAATGAGATAGAAATGTAAACAAAAGGTATACAGGAAAGAAAACATCATTTTATTTGGGATATCTACACAGCCTATATGTATTTACAAATAGCGCATCACTATTTCTTTGTTTCGTTGCACTTGCAAATTTTGAAAAGTGCACAGGATAATATGCTGTTTCAACAGTCTTTTGAAAGGATTTTTGGACTTTTTGTGACTCTGAGTTTTCAAGGTCACAACTAATCAATATTCATGAAAAATATTTGGACCAGAGAAAATAAGTCAGGAGAATCGAATAGTCCAGATAATCGAGGTTCGACTGTAGATAGATCACAAAATTTGTTGAGTGTGTTGAAAGTATATTAAAATCAAGATTTTCCCATGTAAAATCTTAAAAGTTGAATACAAGAGCCTCTACCAGTAAGATGTTACAGATGCAAAATTTACTATTTGCATCCTAACATCAATATGCATATTCTCCATACTGTTCTCTATACATTTCTGAAGGTGTTGACAAGGAGAATTTGTTTAACAACCAAGAGCCTCTTTAGTTAATGATAATTTTCTCTATTCTTGTGACCTTAATTAGTAATTTGGAGTAATATGGTGTGGAGAACTAAGCTACTAGTCACTGAGGGGTCACTCTTGGTGGGGACGGTACAAAACATGGACCCCCCCTTTCTGGATCCCTTCTGGACCCCCTAATTAGATTAAGAAAGGATGAAAACAACAAATACCTGGTGCGACTTGGGAGGTCGTCATCAAAGTGGCATTTTTGTTGGAAGTTTTGTAGCCTTGTGCTGAGGTCCCCACTCTAACTTATAAACAAAGTGGCACCCACGATAGCACACGGGAGGATTAACATTTCTACTAGCACTTTTTGAAGATTCAGGCAAATGTTTGTAGCATGAAATGCCACTTTGATGACAACCTCCTAAGTCGCAACAGGTATTTATTGTTTTCATCCTTTCTAAATCTAATTAAGGGGTCCACGTTTTGTACCGTCCCCTCTTCGCGTCCAGTGCACGTAGAAAGTCAGATGCGATCGTCGGCGTTAGCATTTACACAAGATTGGACCATCCCACAGAATAACCATTTGTGAAAAGTAACTTATCAGTGGAAGACATAAAAAAAAAAGTCTAGAAACTGCAGGCTATCTTACTCTATCACCCGCGTAGGCAACTTCTGTTTCAAGGTGCGCAATAGCGATTTTCATAAGTGATTTGACCGTTTCTTAACAATACCCGTAGTTCGACACTGAGCCACAACGCAAGAAAAGCTCTTATAACAGGAAATAAAATACCTCCAGTTGTTCCTTACTATGCATTAACCTTTAACGAGTGGAGGATGTATTTGAGAAAGAGCAAAACAAAAGAATGTGTTTATTTGCTTCAGGCGACAACTACACGTCAAATTGCACATTGACTTTGAGCACAAACACCAATGCCAAAGAGATAGAGGTACTCACCATCTTTGGTTCGTTATTGATTTTTTCCGAAGACTCGGTAACGTTTCTTGCCTGAGCTGCAACAAAATTGCCGCCGGAGAAATACCTGTGAGACTGCTGTCTTCAATCTTCGCACAACGCATGTATTCATTACCACATTTGATTCGAAAGCGCACCAAATTTCCTAACAAAAATTATCAAACCAAAACGAGGGTAGACTGTCTTCTATAATTGGGATACTTACAATCGGTGTGATAGTAGCCGTTCATCAGGTTTCTGTTCATTTTCGATGAAGATTTTTGGCTAGGTGACGTGTTTTTCTACAGGAGTAGCTGTGTTCACTGAAGAAGTCCTCAAATGACATCTGCGCTGTGCCCAGCCTCACATGTGCGCTCTTTTGGCGGGAGACGTCACTCATAAAAATAATAATTTTAATAACTTATTAATTTGCAGTGCGCTTTTCAACATGTAATGATCAGCAGCGCCTAAGCTCGTGGGAATTTCATAGAACAAATGATATGATTGGTACGCTTTTGCGCGCTTTGTCGATTTATTTGCGCGTTATTAAATAATTACTGCAGTAGTTACAGCTTGAATATTTTTGCGGTGACGGTTGCAGTGAAGGCACCTTTGGGAATCATCATCATCTTGTTCCATCGCCCTTTTACTTATTTTCAAAGTGATTTTCGCCGTCAATTCATACTCTTCTGCTTTGAATCAGTTGTTTAGTAACTCTCCGAAATATCTGTCGAAAAGCATAGTAGCAGTAAAAGAAAAAGAAAGAAAATCCATCACAGTTTGCTTACAAAAGAGTATTTCGCCCTAGCAAGTTGGTGTGACCGTTTTGACTCCGGAAGTAGATACTTCCACCCACTTCCAAGACAAGAGCGATCTGAACCGGGAAACAATATCGACCAAAATATACTACAGACACGGGCCAGAATATCTGGAACGAGTAGATTTCTCGTAGGCCCTCTTTCCAAGCCCTGTCTGTCATGCACGTCACGCAAAATAATTAACCCCGAAAATGACGTCTGCACAAGTTAATTTTAGGATTTTTATTTTAAAGACCTGCGCGACGGTGAAACTAGGGACAGAAAGGGTGCTTATATGAGCGACTACTAAAAGATAATGCAATCTACTTTCTCCTATATAATGCTCGCTCTGAGTCTACCAAACCAGTTTCATGTAATGTGCATAAAATGGTTTGTTCACTAAGACTAATACGTACGTCAAAAACCAGCGAATTTAGATTAATGATTTTTCCGTTTTATTTTGCGCAAAGGTCATTTTGAGTAAGGTGATGCCNTTTTTTTTTTTCTAAATGATGTAGCCTCAGGGTAGAGATATTAAGTTTCGTTAGTAGTCATGCTAACAAAAATTCATCAATGATCATTGCTACCCTTTGTTTATTTAGCCAGTTTACAAAGATTTAAGTCTTTTCAGAGCGTAAGCATAACAGAAGTCACTTCGCGATAATAATAACTCCAATGAAAACGGGTGTATCAATGAAGATTTTTTCTCTTTATTAATATTAGCACATATACCGGCTTAGTGGTGCAAAGCCACAGACTGTGCCTGTTTTTTTTTTTTTTTCATACTCCACAAATTTTTCTAAATGATACACATTAATTTTTTCGTCAATATAAAATTGGGCATATTATATTATAAACAAGTAATCACATGGTTCCTCGTAAAATTGAGGATTAATATCACTTGTGTTTTCGGAAGTTGCAGAAATTGCCCGAGTAGCTGCGCGACTCGGGCAATTTCAGCTACTTCCGAAAACATAAGTGATATTAATCCTTAATTTTACTCGGCCCCATGCGATTACCTATACATATTGGCGAAAAAATTGCGAAAATTGACCGCTTAGCTAAATTCTAGTCTAAGTGAAAACAACTTTTCTATGGAAACTCTACAGAGCTCGTACTAATAAATTAATGCCATCTATTCACAATAAGGTAAAGAAATAATTTACAATATTAATAGGAAAAATAAACTTTTCTTTCGAGTGTTTTTCTGACAACAAAAGACCCAAAACCGCGTTCAAACGTGAACGGCAAATTCTATTTTTGATTTCGCTTGCAACGCAAAAGTTCAATTCTTGCCTTTCGTCATTCGAATAACCGTAACTCTAAATCACTTAATCTGTAAACGATCGCTGAGCAGGGTATGTATTCCAGAGGGCATCAGAAGGAAGTCTACGTTGCTCTTTAAGATCATTTAAACGCATTGATTCATTTTTACGGGCTGTAACCTTTGTGCCCATGAACACGTCAATTGACGTCCTTTTAAATGAGGAACGTAGCGTAATACATCACAGTGGCGAATAAAACCAGCATGACAGAAAAGAGCCCCAGTTGAACTTTAATGAACACATTAAGACCTGTTTCTATGTGCGAGATTTTTCTGTTGGTGGTGTCAAGCTGAAAAAAAAGAAATTTGCAAAATTAGGATGAGCGAGCCTTTAGCAACCTGTAAGCAAAAGGTTAACAACACCGTGTGTGTGTGTGTGTGTGGAAGGGAGGGGAGGGAGGAGGGTATTTCGCCCTTATTAATGTGTTAACTCACTCCCCCCCCTCTTCGATAGACTTGCCTTTTTCTCCACGTCACTCAGCTGTCGTTGAAGTGCCTGAATGCTGTCCATGGCCATGCTCAGAGTAACTGGTTTACCTTCCGCAATATCAGAATACTGACCAGAAAGCTGAGCACTGGACGCCAGAAATCGGCAGCGAAGTCTGAAAGAAAATTCATTGTCTTATTTTTAAATTAAAAAAAAAAAACCGATGACTCAAACACAGAGCGAGGGGGGGGTAGGGTAGGACGGGGGGTTGAATAGGTATCGCTCGTACTTGAACTCAATATTCAGTACTCAGGATTCGAGGCTCACTTGACCTTTTCACTCCCAATATCTTGTGAGTAATTCTTATTGTCTGCCATACAATTCTTATGATGTTAGTTCAGAGAATTTGGTATTGGATCATCTGATAATCTTCTAGGTAACATTTTTTTTCTCATAACTTGTCT